CAACAATACTCACATTATCCATGTCTGCTAATATAATATTCGAATGCCTTATATTAATCCATTTTAACTCCAATTTACCTAAGTAATAAATCAAACAAATACGTTTCAATGGTATCACCAATGTCAGTAGATTCTTAATACTGCCTTATTCTTAATAATGCTCGAATGTTTTGTGATCAGCCTTTTAATTTCGGTTTCATTAACTATTAAACATCATATGTACCCACAGATTTTTGATCCAAGTATTTTTATTTGTCTTCCTCAGCACTTATTTTTGACTCCAATTAAATGTAAATAACCTGTATTAGCGGCTTTCTGATAATGAATAATTTACTTGTTTTAACGTGTTCTAGATTTTTATAAAGCAAAATTAAACTGTTAATAAAGCGTTAGCAAATAAAGATATTCTATTGGATCAAAATGTTACTAAAAATTTGAAATTACTACGTACCAAAAGTATTTCTAATGATGATACCATAATTCAGTAATAGCGATTGAAATTCATCGTAACTGTATTTAGATCTAAGCTTTCAACCATAAATCCATCAAGAATGTAACCACTTGAGCAATCAGTTATAAACCATTATTATGTGTATTGTTTAAAAGTCGGATGGATATACACATGAGCATTATGCAATTTTGCTATATGGGATAGAGAGATTTGCTAACGTTTTAAAAATAATAATATATTAAATACGCATATTGGTAAATATTTAATTATCATTATTTTAATTTTATTAAATGGCTATTGTGAATAACAATACAAATTAAAGTATCATGCAAGTCAATGCCTCACTAATTTTAATGATAATTATCAAAGTTGTGAGACATTTTTGAATAGCTAATTTCTGGTTATAAATGAATAAGTTCTCGCAGTATGCCAGTTTAATTTCCTAAAAAAATTATGAATATAATATTGATATAAACAGCAAAATTTTTTTTATAGATATGAAAATTATAAATTTATACAGTTACCTTTATATATCGTTTATTTCATTATCAACTATGTAATATAGATTGCCTACTTTAATGAACCCAACACAACGATCAATTGTTTTTACATCTATAAAATCATAACCAAAAAATTGACGGAAGTATTTTAGCCCTGCCGAGTCTTCTATAACCGGTATTGCCCAATTTATACAGGCCAGCATATGATCTTCATTATTAAGTTTATATTTAAGATAATATTTTATATTACCATAAAATGATTTCATTTCGAAAACTGGTGCATGCTTTCGATTATTTGAATATTTGTCTATTTCCATATAGACCTAAATAATTAAGCATATTAGTTCATTAATTATAGGAAAATGTATTTTTGCACTCTGGTAAGTAACAATAATATTTTGATTTTTAAATCTATATATCGTAGTGCACAGTAAGTATGTATTTTTCTGGTAGGCAATTAATTTATTTAATCCAAGAGCGTGTGAAAATACTAAATTGGGTAAGGATTAGATAACAATATTACTAATACATACCAGTACAGAATAATTTATACGTGCCCAATCTGGATTTCATGTGATCCAACTAGATCCTATATAATATTCGTATTTGGTGCATAAACGACCAAATTTTTGTATTTGAGAAGTGAAAGACTAAAGAGAAATATTAATAATTAGCTTAAAACAGTTATTTTTTTTAAAAAAAACCATATATATACAAACCCGTAACTGATTTGATGTTACATTAAAGTTTGTTATGTAATGATTTTTTAATTTTTTAAGTTCTGCTTTACTAAGCATATACTGTGCCGTAGGGCCAAAAAATTGTTCTTCATATCCTTCTGCTAAGAAATTTATTTGATTTGAATTTATTGCTTCTTGCACAGGTAAAGATATTTTTTGATTAATTTGCTTGTAAAATTTTAAATGATTAAAAAGTTCAATCATGTAAATGTTATTAATAATATTTTTATACGGATATAACCGTGATCTTGCAAGTGGTAATAATATGCTACAAACATGCTCAATTGGAAACTGCCATGTCACCCAGCATGGTCCATTTTTACAGATACGTGAAGTATATAATGTATACATATTTTCATAGCACTAAGCCGTTCACATGAATTCTTATAGTACTCTCTAATAAATATTAGTTATAATAATAAATTAATTGAAAAATTAATATAAAAAATTAATATAAACATTACTGTTCATAATGGGCATAAAACTTCAATAAAAGATCATTAATGTCATTTAAGTCATCTGCAGATATAATTTTTTTGGCATAATCTTACTGCCTTTACAAAAAAACACTATCTGTTATAATATTTTAAAGGTAGTCGTTCCTTAAGCAAAATTAATGAGTACATCATTATCCATGCAGCCCATTCTTTAGCCTTTTTTTTTTTGGTTTTAAGGTGAGGCCTTGCTCATATCTTTATTAATAATAATTTTTTAATAGTAACAAAATAAA